TTCCCCATTTGGGAAGTGAGATATGGTCATCAGCATTACCTTCATTTGCCTTCCTGGTTGATTTTATCAAGCTGGCCAGCTGAAAAGGCATCTCTTTCCAGCAAGAAACACTGTGATATTTTAAAGAGCTTGGGCTTCGGAGTTGGACATACTTCAATCAGATCCTAGCTTTGCTAATATCCAAATGGATGGCTTTTTCAAGAATCTTTAATCTATCAATCTTAAATTGCACCTGTGTGTGAGCTCACGTGCACGTTGCATGTGACTGAGGATATCAGATGTCAAACTTGGTCGCTGTTTCTTAGGCACTATTTACATTTGCATTTTCTGAGACTCAGTCTCTCACTAGGTCTTGGAACTCAGTTGAGGTTGTCTGTGCAGCAAGTGCCAGAGATTCCCATTTCTACTTTTCCAAGCATAGGAGCCCCATGTCCTCACACACACATGTTTTCTCAGGCTTTTGTGGCAAGCCTTTTCCTGAGTTACCTCCCCAGCCCCCAATCTTAAATGTTCTAATCTGCAACCTGCACATAATGATGCAATTCCGATCTCCCAATGTTTCACTGAGGATGAGCACATGCAATGAATATATCAAATGCAGTCTCTGGTTTCTGTTCATTTCTTGATGTCTGTTTGCCACTCTTGATGGTTTGAGCCCATTTCAAAGAGATGACCTTGGGGGCTAAGTGGGTGGCTCAGTGACAGAGTGCTCACCTATGCTATCTATCTCCATAGCTGATGGGAAATATAGCTTATGGTAGTTTATAACACTTAACTATAAATATATAGCTAAGAAAAATATTCAGGAAAAAACAGGCACAGCAGAATGGAACATATATATATATCTTACTGGTAAAGTAGTAGAGCACCTGCTTTGTTTTCAATCCCCAGCACTCACCTCTCTCCCCAAACAAAAATAAAAATAGCTATAGGATGTGATAAGACCAAGATAATAAATATATGAAAGATGTAATATATATATATATATATATATATATATATATATATTAGATCTCAGTCCTGATTGCTCATTGGAAGTAATTAAAAGTAATTAAAAAGATTCTCGTTGGGGCATTGCCCTGTAGAGAATATGATTCAATTGGGGCGCAGTGGGTCTTCAGTCATGGGGGACCTTGTGAAATTTCCTGGGGTGTTTCTAATCTATACTAGATACAATGCTTTCTTTTTAAACTTTAGCACTAATCATGCAGAAAACATGGAATAACTCAGAAGCCTGTTGGATGCTGGTGTTCTAGAGAGTTGGCCATTTAGATTCTGTTTCACTTAATCTAGGGAAGGGCTTGCGTGATGTTTATTTCAACCAGGAAAATTCCATGATGTCCTTCTCGGTTCAAATCACTGAGCCTAAAGCTAAGGGAGGGAGTATCATTGTCAGAATCTACTGATGGGTATGCCTGAATTATGGCATATGGAGACCCAGATGCTTTTTGAAGTCGTATGGACTTCCAGTTTCCAAAACCTTCCTCTTGAGTTACAGGTGGCTTTCACAGAGTTCCCTCCATGTTGCCAGGATTTTCTGGGGGTGAAGAAGTTCCAGCTAACCAGAAGAGCATCATCTGTCTCCAGGGGACAACCAGGAGGTCTGTGGGCTTCTCCGCCCCCACCCTGTTCTCCACAACACACCCTGTTTTTGATAGCAGAATTCCAAGTCAGATAATTCTTCCCTTCTTACACACACAACAAAGACAAATGGATATTGGGGAAAACAAGCTGTTTCATTAGCAGAACAGGGCACAGACTTGACAATCTCAGGGACTCATGAAGGCACTTTGAAAAGTTGCGGACTTCTTTTTATCCTCCCTTCTAGAACCTTCCCTAGACTCTTCTTGTATTAGCTAACTAGGACACCCTCCTCTATTTTGGAACAGGTTATTTTCATTTTCCAAGAACAATTAAATTAAAATACCCTTAAGCCAGTCAAAAAACATACTTCTAAAACTATTGCTTTAGATAGACATTTTATCTATAATTGATTTTGAAGGTGTTTTCTAGAATTCTGTGAACAGTATATACAACACAGGGAAGGAAGAAGGGGAGCCCTCAGATTTTTTCTTTCCTCCTGAAAGGGTTTATATCTCTGAGAAGACTTGTTCAATCTATAGAAATTGCCACATGAATGAATGACAAAGGCAACAAACACAACAGCCTAGCCAATCAGGTTTTCGGTAACCCAAGCCCTTGACTGTGACATCTGTATGAAACTCCCAGTTAGCATTACAGAAGAGGGTATCACATCCAGGCTTTCAGGAATTCCTCATACCGCTCAATGCTGGTCTAATCTGGCTGAGTAGAGAGCTGCCTGGAGTGAGATTAAATTCTCTTTGCTCTACATGCCTTTCACATACCTTTCCTTCCCCTAGTCCTCAATCTTGACAAGAATTCAACACAGATTTCAATCATCCATTGGAAACATGAGTGTTTACTGTGGGAAGTGAGGGTTGTGGGAAGTGAGGGTTACAGGCCATGCTGTTCATCCTTCACTCACTCACCATTCACCTGGAATGTTCCGAAGGCCTAGGGATTTGGTGTCTTGGAAAGACTCATTGCCCATGCACAGTGCATACAGGCTGCTGCAGGGGAGCTGGGGACTGTAGTGAAGTTCCCAGTCACAGTGGAGGCAGAGCTCCTAGAAGCAGGAGACTCCAGGGTGATGGTCCTAGGTGTTGGGGGATCTGGGACCATGTTTTGATACAGAGTAAAAGAGCGGGTAGGAGGATGTATCAGAGCACACTTCCACTATTGCTGAAGTTTGTCCTGTTGTAGGTTTCTCTGGGACAACACACACAATCTTAGTGATACTGTGTTTACTAAACATCCCTCGCGTGTGTGCGCGCACGTGCATGTGTGCGTTCACGTGCGTATGCTTACCTTTTACTAGAAACAGGAAATTGAATTACTATAAGTTAACATTTCTTATTTGCAAAGTCTGAGCTATCTCGTAGATTCTCCATCAGAGGAGGGAGGTCCTTTAACATGGGATATCTATTTTATTGATTTGCTGACGTACAGTGTCTTTTGTAGCAGATGTTGTTTTAAGCACTTTAAAACTTTGCCTCAGTAATGAGCTTAACAACTTAGAAATCTGTTGCTGTTGTCAATTTGCCAAAGGCTTTATGCATTGATTTTTAAATATGGGTCCCAAGGGAGGGGTTCTGTCTCTCTCACTCACCAAGACTGCCTGTCACCCCTGTTTAACTGCAAACTCTGAGATCTCAGAAACACTTAGATTTCTGATTTGGGGGTCCTGACCTAGTTGATGTTTGGGGAGACCACTCTCAATCCTGCACATCTAGGATTCCTAGATTGGGGGTAGCATCCTCCTCACCCACACGATCCAAAGGAGAAGACATAGCTTATGCCACCGCTTCCCATGTATTTCCCAGTTATTCCAGCTCTGGAGCCTAAACCAACGTCACTGCTGGTGACAGTTCTGACCACTCCACCCCCAGAGCTCCATCTGCCGCAGCTACCAGCCTGCCTTGTAATCTTCAAGCCTCCCACACACCCTGCCTGCTTTCCTTCCATAAAAGCCAAGAGTCCATCATCTTCAAGACAAAGTGAACAGACAGCTTTACCCTTCACAGCCAGCTACTATTTCTTTTCTCCATCTGCGGCTCAGGTGGATGAACCTGCCATGGAACAAGGCTCAGACTGGCATGCACCCGGGCAGATGTGGAAGAGTAGAAAGTCAGGTCCCGTGACTGAGTGGAAGTCCCTCTCTTCTCATCTCGCTTCTAGCTCCACACCTACTTCTAGCCACCAACCTACTTGTAGATCCATAACAAGCTATAGATGTTAACTATCCTCTCACGCTTCTTCCTAGCAACACTTCTTAAAGAGGCAGAAAGCAGCAGCAATGCTGTCTCCCTCCTCTTGGAGGATGGAGATTCGCCATGGTATCATTTTTACCAAATCAAGTTATGCTGCTGAGCCTGCTGACCCTAACAAAACCTGCAGATAATATCCAGCCCCTCCTGACCTTAAGAACATGGGCTCACACCCAGAAAATGGAAGCAGGATGCTCACAAGCCCTCAAGGTTACCTCAAGTCACAAGTAAAGCAAAAACAATTCATAAGAACACTTGGGGAAACTGGGGGGATTATTATCATTGCTCAAGGTGAGCTTCCCGTCATGCAGCAGTGAAAGATGTCAAGATTACAGCACAGCGTATCTCCTTTTCATCTCTGCTTTGCAACTTTCAAGAATCCAACTAGTTTCCTATTAAAGCAGGACCACTGTCTTCCTTTTTAGTGTGTTACCTCCATGCTCTGGGGCACAGCCATCGCTTGACTGAACATCTTTAGAATGTCATGAAAAACACAAACTGTAATTTTTTTTTTTAAAAAATCTCCTACCCATCAAGAGGATGAAACACTTGGGATTCGTTTGTTACTTTAACAACAGCAAACATTCTAAATAGAACCTGGGAGAGAAGAGCAAGCACGCTAGAGCCTAATCGACTGCCTTGAACTAGGTAATGAAAATACAGACTGCCGCACTTCACACAAGGGGGTGGAGAGCCTTGAGTGTGCACTGAGGATTCTCCAGGCAGCAACCCTGACCACTGAGTGTAGATAAGGCAGTTACACAAGTGGCAACACTTATCTCAGAAGCCCACAATCCAGCCAGATGGCACTCGGCTAGGTCAGGGTGCCCGAGGATCTCCACCAGTGCAATAGACGCCTGCCGAAAAATTTCCTCAGTCCTCTCAGGCATAAGCTCCGGATTCAAGGAGGTGGGAATCCTTTTCTAACACCGCCCTCGGAGGTCTGCAGCCAACACTTGTTAACACCCCCAAGATGAGTGGATTTATTTAGTCTATTTTGAAATTCCAGCAGCAGTTTGGTAAATGCTATCAATCTGGAACTATTAATCAGTGAACTTTTAAGAGGGAGCTTAAGCTGTTGCAACTGACGTTGCATGGTTTGCCGCAAAGCAGCCTGAGGGAAGGGGGGCTTCTCTCTTTTCCATTTGTTACCTTGAGCTCCTTGACTGTAGAAGAATCTTTGTGCTGACTCCACATCCAAGAGTCTATGAGCAGACTCAACATCCAGAAAATAATCCATTTTGGGATAATCCATCTTCAATGTTCAAAGCAGGATTTTGAGGGAAGCTAATCACGTAGATATCTATAAAGAGGAAAAAAAAACCCACAGTATTTCAGGCTGTCAAGTATGTCTACTCTTTAATTTTTTTTTAAATAAGAGTACTCTATTATCATATGCCAACATTTGACTGACATATCTAATTTCAAAGCCCCCATTGCCAGAGTCTTTGTATTGTATGAGAATACGCAACCTTTAGTTAACACTGATTAAAAATAATATATTCCACTTAGGAAAAAAAGAACAAGCAATGATCCAGGTTAAAGAGAAGTAACATACTGTTTTCTCCTTGCTGTATAGTAGCTGCCAGAAGATATACTTTTAAATTAATCTACTTCCAGTTTTTAAAAGTCTGCCTAATAGATGGCATTAGAAAGTGTCATCCATCCTGCAGGTTGCCCTTCCATGGACCCAGGGGCTTCTGGTGTCCCCTTTAGTGAGAGAATCCCCTCTGAGCATCTGAGTCCCCTCCCTAGATATCTTGCAATACATTTTGGCTTGTTTGCTGTACAAATACCTTGGATTCCTTATTCTTCAGCCATCCCTTCAGCGTTCTCTACAGTGCTACGGGCTCATCTGCTTGTGCCTGGTACAGTCTGCTTCAGTACAGAACTATGGCTCATGCAGCAGTGACAAGCATCACAGGCTTGCAACTTTTCCCATAGCATGCACTAGCCCCGCGTGAAAAACAGCCACGTCCCTTCTCATGGAGCCTGTGGAGGTTTCCCCCGATACAGGCAAAGATGAACTACCTCTATTTCTGCACTGTTATCGCTTTAAGGAGGAGCGAGACAAAAAGTCCTTAAAAATCAAGAGGCTCAAACAATCACTTGCATTCTAAGACCACACACTCTCATCCAAGAAACCAAGTTTGGTAAGAGGAAACTTTTAAAAAAATAGGCAAAGGTACCCCCAACAGCGAATTATACTTACTGCAAAAATAAAGCTGTAAAGCCAAGGGCTGTCAATAGTCCAAATGAGCAGTTTCAACCAGCTGCCTTTGATCTTACTAAATATTCCCAGCGAAAGTAAACAGTTTTGATTATCTGATTAGATCAGTGATGAATAATGTATTCTGTCCACTGGACTTGCTCTATCAGATAAAATGGCCAGAACATGTTACCTTAGCAACAGAAGGTGACGCCAGCTTCAGCCTCTCCACTCCCTCCTCTGCAAATGAAGGAAATTACCACTTTCCCATGTAAAACTTTGGCAGGGAACCATCGACATGTAGATTTTACATCATCCAGGGTCATTCACAGCCTGCTTTCCCACCTCTTAAGTGGAAAAATCTCATACGTATTTAAAAATCAGAATTATGGTTTAATAATCTATTTTTTCCATCTCAAATTCCAGTCTGCTTTGCAGTCAGAACAAAACATAACGTGGTAAATGATTAAACAGTGGAGAAGACTAAGTTGTCTAGACCGTGTTGGGGTACCTGTCCTTACCTTATTGCTGAATGAGGCAGGATGATGAAGAAAGAACGTTTAATTGACAGCATGTTCAACATTCCCATTATAATTAACACACAGAAACAGTCACCAGCTCCGACGCTGAAAATAACCCCTTCTGTGAATCGGTCCCTAGAAACAGCTTAAAAAGCTGCCTGAAATTCCCCAGCTTTTTGAAAGACGCATTATAGCACGGATCTTCTGGGAGACAAGCCTCTAGCCCACCAAAGGCAAGCTAGCCAGAGAGACATATGCAGGGAAGATTGTCAAAGTTAGAAGACAGTCACTCACCAGCTCTTGTCCTCCTTCAACAGGATGCAGCCGGAGAGTAGAAAGCAAACTGAGCCGGGCTGCTGAGCTGGCAAGCCCAAATGAACAGCTTCTAATTTTCCCTTCAATCTCCAGTCAGGAGCACAGAGTGGAGGGAAATGATGGATCTGCCGGTTTTATATTGTGATGAAATGCTACCCCCCAAGATGGAATCTGAGTGGGGCTGCTCTTTAGAACACATTAGCCTGCTAATTTAAGAAAATTGAAAGGTTTTGTTTTACCGTCTTTTATGTGTTCTTTTCTGCTACCCCCCTCAATTTAATTTGCATTTAAAATGATTCTCCTGTCTCCTAGACACTCCAAGGTGTGGAGTACTTTCTAGTCCTGAAGGCTGCTCCAGTAGGGCTTGGTGAACTGCCACTTTCCTTCTGAGCTGCCAAACATGGTGGGCAATTAAAACTGTGAGCTATTTTCCGGAGGGAAATACAGAAGGCCAGTTGGGTTTCACACTTCCTCTTTCTGTCTCTGCGTGGTCACATCCTCAAAATGCCTAAATGCACGCCTTCCCCCCCCCCCCCCCCCCCCCCCCGCCGAATGCAACAGAATCTTCTCAATGGCAAAACGCAGCTTTGGTTGGATTCCTCAGGTTAACCTCTTTTGCTATCCTCCCTACCCCATTCCCAGGGAAGGCTTGCAGAAATAAGACTTTGAGATGTACTCATCAAAGCTATGATAATAGCCAAGTAACACTCTAGGGTGTGTTTTCTGCAACCTTCCTCCACCTAGCATGGACCAAGCATAAGTGATGGTTAGTACAGTGTAGCTTGTAGCATTGTGATAAGTGCTTAAGACGGGGAAGCAATGTTTACAAAGACTTGGGAGAAAGTCTTTACCAGACTGCCCTTCCCCGTGTACACTGCTCAGCCAAGCGACAAGTGCTGGGGAGTGCCTGCTAACTTTGAGAATTGTCCATTTGTGTGTCTTTCGTATTGCCTTGCCTTTGGTGGGTTAGGGGGTTGTCCCAGGAAATGCTTTGCTGACTGTTTTGTGGGTCAGTAATGGGGTGGGGTCTCCCACCACATCTGAGCAAACAACCATGTACCAAGTTAGGACTACAGATAGATCAGCCCGACGGAAGAACAAAGTAGAATGACCGATCAGATGGCCTCGTGGGGTGCTTGGTCTCCGGATGCGCGAAGCTTTGCTCAGACACTTCAGGCCTTTAAGGTTGAAGTTCTATTCAGCTCTCAATAGAGATAGGTGAACACTTGACATTCACAAGAAGAGAAGCTGTCTTCTGGTTCCTTTCTCTTACAGTAGAGTGTGGGCGACAGGTTCTAACCCTCTATTGTGCTTCTACTGAAATTATAATGACTCATAGGAGAGAGAGACACAGGCATAGGGAGGGGAGTGGAGCGAGAAAGAAGAGAAACAGAGAGAGAGAGAGAAAAAGAGAAAAATTCAGCTGAAAAACATCAGATACTATGCTAAGTGTAAATGAGCCTGTGATGGAGAAGGGTGATGCTAAATATGATTTTTGAAAAATATGTCGGGTTCCTGAGTACTGACCAAAGAATGGAAACTTGAAGTGCTTTATAAAATAAAGTGCTGGGGCTGCAGAGAGGACTCGGTGGGGAAAAAACTTGCTGTTCATGCATTAGGACTTGAGATTGAATCCAAAGAACCTACCAAAAAAGCCAGATGTGGTGATTCATGTCTGTAACCCCAGTGTTCCCAAAGTGGAGACATGAGGATCCCTGGGACTCATAGGCCAGCTAGCCCGGCATTATACAGTAACAACAAACAGGAGAGATTGTGGTAACTGATACCTGGAACTGTCCCTGCCCTCCACATGCATGCTGTGGCACGTTGCTCTTTGGATAATAAACCATCTAAACTTAGCTTGGAAATACTAGACTCTCTCTTAAAGTAAAATAACATCCTGGATGTCTTGGCAGAGGTTGAAGCCTTTGGTAAAACGCTAGTGTGCTAAATAAATTCAGCCATGACTCCCCCGGAAATGTGAGCGATTGCTTCCATGACCCTCATAAATACTAGGATCTTCAAGTGCTCAATTCCTTTACATCAAGTGGTGTGCTATTTGCATATAACCTACACATATTCCCTTGTATACTTATAATATTCCCTAGATACCCTTAACCCCTAATACAGTGTACATGCTATATAATTATTGCCTACAGAATAATGGCAGGAAGAAAATTTGTACATGTTCATTATGGTTGCCATTTTTCACTGAATGTTTTGATCCACGGCCCATAGATACAAGGCTTACTACACAGAGAGCTTTATCCATTTTTACTGAGTTAACCTCCAATAGGTACAGTAGTTTGGAGATAGGGAGATGACTCACAAAGTAAAGTACTCATGAGGACTGGATCCTCGGCACCCGTATAGATTCCGGGTAGGCATGGTAGCCCACCAGTAATCCCTAGGTGCATGAGGCAGAGATGGGATTCCTGAAGCCACCTGACCAAGGAGATGAACTGATCAGCGAGTTCTGGGTTCAAGTTAGAGATCCTGTCTCAATATGTCAGGTGGAGAATGGTCCAGGAAGATACTGGATGCCAACCTCCGGCCTCGACATACATGCATGCATATGTATAAGTATATACGCACAAAGATGTATACCCGTACATATATGAATATGCATGCACATTTGAAAGGGAGACTTAAAGAAAAGTGGTTCATCTCTGTTTGGCAGAGCAGTCTCTGAAATTTTAACCTTTGACTCATGAGAATTCTTTCTCTTATTTTCTCAATAAGCCATACACATGCACACACTGGAGGACCAAGTGGACTCTGTGGGTTTAAAAGAAAGAAAAGAATACATGGAGTTGGGAGGGAAGAGTGGTGGTGGGGACAGAAGAAGAACTGGAGGGGAGACAGTGGGGGGAGGGAGGCCTTGGTCAACATTGTATACATGCATGAAATTCTCAATCGATAAAGAAGAACAGCCTGTCATCAAATAGCATGGTTCTACAAACATTTTATCTGAGGCTTTATTCATATGAAAATTTCCCTGGAATAAGAAACACTTTCCGCCACCATCAGTTATTTTTACATAAGAGCAAATTAATTTCTACTGCTGTTTTTGGAGGAAGGTTTGATAATAGTTGGAAGCTAAAATAAAAAGGCAGGGAATTCAGACAGACAGAAAAAAAGAACTCTTATATTGAGGAGGAGCTTAATTTTATTTCACACAGGCCCATGGCCATATTTGGAGGACTTTCTCTTATATAATGTGTTAGGATTTGTCTGCCAGAAAAGAGCATTGAATCTGTAAACGTCACAATTAGGATCACAGCTAGAAGATATCTGAATGATCCAGACGCAGATTCTTTTTTTTTTCTCCCAGATTTTATTATTCCTTAAAACGTGGTGGATGTGGGTGTGAGTGTGGGGTACATGGGTGCATATTTGCGAGTACACATGAGTGGAGGCAAAAAGAGGGTGTCATATCACCTGGAGCTGGAGTTATGGGTGATTATGAGCTTCCCAATAAGAGTACCGGAAATCAGACTTGGTCCCTGGCAAGAGCAGTACCCATTGTGATTCACTGAGCGATCTCCAGCTCCAGAGGGGGAGTCTTAAATCTTCCTCAAGGACATTTATATTGAAGATTCTTCCTTGGCCAGTCCTTTCTTGGGGCTGCACTGTGAAGTACCATGCCAGAGAAATTGGCTTTGCAGTTATAGAGGAGACTAGGGCTTAGTAGGGTAAGTTCTATTGGCTCTTCTTGCTGTTGCTTCTAAAAATAACCCTTTCCCTCTGAAAACTCAGTTCAAAGTATAAAGAACATGAGTTCAAATGCCACCTTTCCCTCTGCCAAATAGATTCTGTTCTTCTTGCTTGTGATATGCAAATCTCTTCACTTTGCAGAAAAAAAAAATAGCCAGAAATCCTATCTAGTTCAGTGTCTCTAAATCTTGGTCTAAAAGTAGGAAAATGGGAAAAATGCTGAGTTGAGAAGAGGAGAGATTGTCAAGCATCTCTATTGACCACATCTCCCTACTCTCTAATTCTAAAGTTATGGAAATGAACATCAAGAGACAAATCTGTCAGCAGTGACAGTCTTTGAAACGTGAGTTTTAGGGTACACACAATACTTGACTTTGTTTCTGCTAAAATGAAATTACAGGGTCCTGAATTCTCTGCCTATTTTAAGTTTACTTTCTGTTCTTTTGGAGGGGACTAAAACTAATCACAAGTTGAATTGCATTTTCCTGTCCTTAAAGTTCAATATAAAAACTTAAAATAATCAAAAGACACATTGAAGGAAGAAAGAATAATGATCTCCAAGGGCCACAACTTTGCTAGATCCCACAGGGATGACAGGGCCCTGAGCTTTCAATACACATTAGGAAAATCATGTTGATCCCAGCAGTGAGAGACTCCAGGGAGGCAGGGAGAATGAAAGTATCAAAGTAATACTTCAAAGGAACTTTAGTGATTATTTCTCCCATTTTGGGATTTAAACAAACTGTCTAATTCTACAACAGGGTTTCTATGTCTAACCATTAATATGTAAGAATTCCCCTGTGTATACATGCAAGGCTATAGGATTCTCATCACTGTATAACAAATACTATTATCCACGAAAGAGTCCTGAATGTGACTTGTTGTTCTGAGTTGAATACCTTTAGTATCTGTTACTCCAAGACCTCGAAGACACTAGGTTCCCAATTCATCATTCTACATCTAACTATTTTATTATTCTCATCTGGTGGTTAATGCTATGAAGAGGTGGGGCTTACCTCAGAAACAATGGAAATTTTATTGGTATTCATTGAATTTAATCTTTAATAAATAATAGTAGTACCTGAAAGGGGAAAAAAAAGTCTTTCATAGACTTAAAACCTTCATGGCTGCATAGAAAACCCCAAAGACACATTCTATTCAATCTTTCAGGAGACAATACAGTGAAGTGGTGAAAAACATGGGCTTGGGAATCTGGAGCTAATACAAATAACCAGCAGAACAAGCAAACTTGGGGGGGGGGTCACAGCTTCAATCTATGCTTAATTGGATTAGAAATCAAAATCCTACCTGATAATGTATATAGATAACTCAGAGCCTGATACATAGACGGTGCTGAGGTTCATTATTGCTTGGAAATACCTTTTAGACAGCAAACGGCTATAAAGACTTATGGAAGGTAGGGACTCCATCTCATCCACCCAAACTCCGTTCATTTACCACATAAGATGAAACATCACCTCCATCATTTTAATTGCAAATCAGGTTCCTAGTCTAATGAAATCCACTTTTACCATATATTGTTTGCATCTCTTCTTACTATGCAAAT